TAATTTTTTAGTGGGGGTTGGTTTCGATCCGCCTCCGAGGTGCTTTCCACTGAGAAGAAGAGTCAGAAGAACATTGAGATGTTCCTCTTCACAGTTCTCTCCAGGGTTCTCCCCGCTCTTCTGCCACCTCATACCAGGATGGGGCTCCGAAGCTTTTGGGGCTCTGATGGAACAATCCGGGTTCAGAAGTCACTCTGAGGGACTGGCCGCACTGTCAGAACACAAGAGACGTTTGACTCTGGAGGATGTATATGGGTAAGAATGAGGCTGATAGATTAATGTAAAGTAAATGGTTTACCAGCAGGATGTACATATCCGACATACCTGTCATAAATCCCCAATTCCACTTGTGCTCCGCCTTTTAACACAGATGAGGAGACTGGGCAGGGTGTATATGCCAACATTATTAGGCTTGACTAAGATTTTGCAAAGCTCATGTTTTTGTTGTTTTGGCAAATGTCTCAAGCTTTAAAACAAAGCACATACAGCATGCAACAAAAGCATTGCAAGTAAGCAGCAGCACGGATTTGCTGCCAGCTAAGATCAAAAAGTGGATGCCACATTTTAAAGTAAAGGTTACTATCAAAGTCTCAGTGAGTCAGATTTCTACTTCATGTTAGCAACTGTTGCTTCCTTTAGAGCATCAACAAAATCCCCTAATATGCAAGGTTTCAATAGACTGCCAAGGAATATAATGCACACTAGCAATATTTATTTGAATTTGATCATTTTTATGTTTTTTTAATTTGAAGAAAGGGTGAAATCTTTGCAGACCCCTCTGTCTGCATGTTCATGGGTTTTCAAAAGCTGTTCAACTTTGGTGTTTCAAGATGGCAACATTGTAGGATGTATTCAAGACCTTTACCTCTGCAAAAAAGTCCTGCATTGATGAAGTTGCTCAATTAAAAGTAAGTAGCCATCATGTCTGTAGAGGCTAAAAGTGTCAAGCTGACATCTACTTTTTTAGTAAGTTATTGTTGCTGATGCATTTATTTGTAAGCAATAGTTTACTGTTGCAGCCAATCCAGTTAGAGCTTACTGCACTGCATACTGCCAGTACTTTCATCTCAATTTATTTTATCAATGCAACATATTTGTGTCCTTGGATTTTTTGAAAAGCATTGTACATATCTAAATTATTATTATATTTATTACTTTAATTGTTTTAAAAGGCCTCTTGTGTGTTAATTATTTAAAGCAAATATTGACAAATAAATGAGGTGAAGAAAAAAGTCCAAAATAAATGAAATGGAAACAAACTGTGCAATAATCTTGAGTCACCCTGAATTTTTATATTTTGCTTCCAGGGAAAGGCTAAACTTGTGTGTAATGTTTTAAAAGTGGTCTTAAGCAATAACTCTCCAGACTTTCTGCAGATCTTTCCAAGGGTTTCTAATTTGTTGTTGTTGTTTTGTTTGTTTTGTTTTTTTGCTTTTTCACTTTTTTCACTCATTTTCAGTCCAGTCCTTGTACCTGACTATTTTAAGAAAAGAATATTTGGGGGTTTTGTTGTTTTTTAAGCACTGACCTATGAATTATTCAACTATAGAGGGATGAAGCAGTGTTCTGTCTACACATAACAGACAACTTAACAAAGACCCCATTATAAAATGCATCTCCTGGGACTTTGCTACTAGCAGCCTGTCACAAAAACACATTTGTTCCTATTCTATATATTTTAAAAAAATGCTAACAATAACACAGCTTGACAGACATAAAATTCTATTTTTGCACCAACAATGGGATTCCCAAAGAACTATTAGCCAAAAACTTGCCCCATCTCTGCATGGTGTGCAGCATATCCTCAAAAATGTAACTTAACTGAAAAACTATTCAGTTTTGAGAAGAAAGTTATAAAAGTATGCACTACTGTGGAATCCTTTGACCTTTTCTTGACAGACATAAATCCTTCCAGACGTTATAAGGAAATGTGGACTGCAGTACAATGGTCAGGTGGTTTTATTACAGTATCATCTGCTGGTCTAATATAGGTCATTTAATGAGGGAAAAGTTCAGCATTGATATGAGACAATAGTGGTGGCGGTGGTGGGGACAGTGACTAAAAGAGGATTGCTCATACTGGTGATTTGAAACAGCGGAGTGGGCCAGTTGTCCCTTCTGGGGTTTTCCATGTGCTGATGACTATGCTACTTAGCTTTCACCACTTCCACAGCCGGCTAGTATTGATTATTGACTTCCGGCCAATGACTCAGCCAGCATGTGACTCAGTAAGGAACTTTTAAAAAGTTTGGAAACTGAAATTTTTAGCTTTATCTACAATAGCCCCCTCAGCAGCATTCAGTCAAAACAGACCAGAGTTAGATGGGTTTTTCTTAAGTGCCCACTTACTCAATCAAAGGCCTTTTTGAGGTCAGTCAAAGTGACTTTATAGATGTTCATTTTAACAGCCGGTGCGTGCAAAGCATTACCTCAAGGGCAACAGCTTGAAACTTCGAAAGGTAAGACTGATTCACAGAGCTCATTCCTCGTGAATGCTGTCAGGTGTTTTTTAAGTTTCTTTCCCCAAGTAGGTAGAAAACTGAAATGTAGTTTCAACTGTTGGGGCAGCTCAACACAGCAGTAGGAGTCTTTCCACAGGTAGGAGAAAGGAAATAAAAAGTGAGGATCAGCACAGGATAACAACCGCAAGATTAAGACGAACTATCTTCTTTCACAGCGGTGAAGTGGATATTTGTCCACAGTGGGAAAAATATAGAATAAAGTTTTACCTCAGCTTCAGGCCTACTCTAGATTTACGTGAATCCTGCCCTTACATAATAAACATGTTTGTTAGGATGCCAAATTCTTGTTAAAGCTACTTTCAGTTACTGTGACTCTGGCTGGATTAATCTTCTTTTGAAACCTAATGACAACCAAGTTTCTGTGGTCTTTCTAATGGTTGATTCAACACTGAAAAGATGACATTATAAATTATCTATCACTTAACTGAGAACAAATTTACAGACCGACATTAATTTGCGACAGTTCTGTGGTAACTGTGCTCTGTTTCTCGGCCCATGACAGCTGGGATTTGGACCGAATACTTGTATTTGCACGCCGTGCAAAATATACTATTTGTACTTGGTTATTTTTTCTGATTTATCTATTTTATGACACTAGAAATTAGGGGTGGGAATCACAGAATGGGTCATGGCATGTTAATCTAATCTTAAGTGGCCCAGGACAGCGCAATACACGACACAGTTTAAATGTGCATGTGCATATTTGCGTCTGCGTGTGTGTGAATTAAAGTTGCAAATAAAGTGCCAGCTCCTTTATTAAACTCTTTGATTTGCTTTACCCCGCTCACTTAGTGAGTTTCTGTTTTTTCATTGCAAATTTAGATAGATATGCCTATTTCAAACAATTGAAGGAATGTACAATCCATATTTTTAAACACAACAAAACAAAATCCCAAATATATTAATTTTATATATATATATATATATATATATATATATATATATATATATATATATATATATAAGCAATTCTGATTTTATGCTTCAAAAGGACTAGAGAGAAGTATAAACTTACCGCTCCTTCCTGTCTAATGACTTAGTCAACTTCAGTTTTCCTTTAATTCAAGAAGTCAAGAAGACTTTGGTAAGTTAAACTGACAAGTTAATCAAAAAAGAAATCTGGGGGTGTATGCATGTTTTAATAAAAAATAAAAAATACTGGCCCCAGTGTGTTGTATAGTAAGTCGATGCTAAGTTATATGTAGCTCTTTAACTTTTTGGTCCCAGTAGTACTGCAAATTGAATTTATGTTTTGTTTTTGATTGACTTAAGGAAATCAAACCATCTAAAAATTTTGCTTTTGTAACTTGCAGCATGTGGGCTTTTCCAACTTTTGTATTTTCACCTCCTCCTAAATGCTAAACTGAAACTTTATTTGTGTTGGAACACACCCATCACACAAAGCCTAAAAATATTTGTCTCTTTATGTCATCTAAATGTGTCACACCTCTTTTTCGCGTGCATAATGCTAACACATGCAACTCCAGCAAGTTGCATGTGTTAGCATCATGCATAACTTAAGCAAACGCTACACTTGGAAATAAAACATAAAGCTCTGACTACTTTTCCGTTGCAGCTTCTGAATGGTAGACCGCAGTAAAACAGTTAAGCATGCTCTGCCACATACTAGAAGCTCAGTCAAGATAATAAAACTTGTCAACCACAACAAACCACAGGTGCACAACAGACTTGTGACTTGACTGTTGTAATGCTTTAGCCGCCTTGACAGCCAAAGTCAGGTGGGTTGCTGGATGATGGAAGATGCACACTTTTCTTGGTAGACTAGAGCAAAGATCATCTGTTGATGTTTAGTATTGAACTCACATGAAAATGAGAGGCACAATTTAACCAAGTGTCAGTTTACGTTTCCATTAGGTGGAGACATATGGAGGTTAAGAGGCTTCCTTTAAGAGGAAACCAATTTTTGTTTTGTGATTTGGGTGGGAAGAGCTAGAAACTTTTGCCAAAATAAAAGAAAACTTCACTTTACATGAACATTGAGCTAACTTACTAATGTAGTGAATGAACCAGCGGGTTAGCAAAGAGCTCACATCTGCTTCTTAAATATCTTTGAGCAAGACAGGAATCCCCAAGAACCTGAAAGTCTGTAATTATATTTACATGATTTGCTAACAATTAAAGCACCATCGCATCATTGTTTCAATAGCTACAGTCATCAGACCATGAATGCACATATCAGTGCATGCAGTCAACAACTCAAATCCATTTCACAATCAGGTAATGAGCTTCGTTTTCCTTACTCATTTGCTGATTCTGAAGGTTAATGATTTATTTTTTAAGGCTGTCTCATGAAATAGAGTATGACGCGAACTGCCTCCCTCCCTCAGTGACGCTCCTTTGTGCTCAGTAGGTGGGATATGCTTTTCAGTATCGAGTCAGACAGATAGTAAAGACCCCCTGGTGGCAATGAGCTGCAACTACAGCGGTTGTGTGTGTGAGTGTGTGTGTGAGTGAGTAAGAGAGAGAGAGAGAGAGAGAGAGGAAAATGGGTGGACGGAAAGTCCCCGTGTGGAAATCCCCTTTGACTTGGACTTTTTCCTTGTTTTAAAAAAACTATCATTATCGTACGTGTGTATTCTTTTGAAAGGCTTCGCAGGCTGCGAGGGCTCCAAAATAGATCTGATACTGAAAGAAAGAGAAGGTTGAATGGCGCCGAGGACCGCTGCGGTGAGGCTGAGTGAAGTGGCTGAGAGAGGACTAGCCTGAGCATCCGGGAGGCTTTTGTTATTACCCCGACATATTACACAGGTAAGACGCCAGCCTTCCCTCCTTGTGCCTCCCCATGTGGACACACATTTCTTAGCAATTGGGTGAGACTTGGTGGGTAAGACCACGTTTGGGCCTTGAGTAATGTATGGTCGTGTTTCTGGGGACACGGAGGAAGCTTGAAGCCTGCTCACGACAGTGGCTTTGACAGCCATTGTTTACAAAGACGTCACCCTCGAGCGGATAGCAGGACATTTAAACAGCCAAATGTGGCATCGGCGAAGCTACAGTGTATCGATACCCGCGCTGTTAGACGCGATTGAACGCTACATTGTTCCAAAGGTAGTTGTCATTGGAATTACGTAAGCCTTTAACGTCAGCAAAGTCTCCTGTTATTGTGTTTTTGTGTAGCCAGCCATCCTAAACCGCAGCGTCCACCCGGGTGCTGCTGTCTGTCTGCCTTAAAGTGTGCCCCGCTGTGACAGCACGCCACGCTAATGATTCGTGTCAACATGCTCCCTGACATCCAGGTGTCTGTTGTCTGGTCCCTCATGTGACTGACTAGCCCTTTAGCACGGCCTAGTCTGTTGTTGCACCTGCTGCTGTTTGGGTAGTAAAGGCACAGAGGCCAATAGAAGCTCGCTGTTCAGGTGTTTGTGGACTCGAACAGTATCTTTCGACCTGACTGCCAGCTTGCGAGAGGTTGATAGAAGGATGTTGTGGGAAGTTTAAAAGTCAGCAAAACTCCAGGCCCACTTGCTGACCATTACTTTCTACTTCCTCTAAACTGCTAATGCGTCTTCACTGCGTTGAAATGTGAGGGGAAATAGTCCTTTAAAACCTTCCCTTTAGCAAACTTGACTCAAATTGGGTATAGAGGTTGTGCATTGAACCTCAGTACCTTTATACTTAAAGTATAAAAACTGCCAAAAGTTTCCCTAATTTTCCTAGCTTTCAAATTACTGTAACAAATTGGGAAACGTGGCTGAATTAAAGTTGTATTTTATTTCAATTTCATTGTTCTTGACAATGACAATAAATAAATACTACTACTACTACTACTTTATTTAGGGGAAATAATTCTGCAGCTGCTTGTCTTTTAAATGACTTCAGGGAGTGACGTAAACCCAGGTTAGATTATCTTCCTCCTGTACTGAGAGCAGTGTTTGTGTCTGTACTGAAAGCCTATAATTTTTCTAATGATTCCCAGCCTTTTAAATGGAGACTTTATGCAGGCTGTTGAGGGAGGAGGCCTTGTGACCTTCCCATCAGCCTGGGAAGCCCTGGGTGGCCTTCGGTTAAGATCTGGAAAGCACCCGTTTATTGTTGGAAGTCTTTGAGCTCAGTGGGACACTAGGAAGCCCTGTTGAGGGAAACTCTCAAAAACCATCAAGACAAAAAGGAGAATTAAAAGAACAAACAAGAATACAAAGGGGTCTTTGTGTACTTTATTCAGTTGGGCCCAGCAGAATCTCCAGGAAAAAGCACCATACAGCCTCCATACTGGAATCATCCTTTGTGATGGGTAGTTTCCCAAACAAACTGTAAATTAAGTTGTGCCTTAAGTCTTAATTTGTTAGGAAGGGGACTCTCCACTGAAAATTTCCCACAAATCCCTGCTGTGAAATAACATGTCCTCTCCGCTTCTCTCCATCCAGTTTCCACGTTGATCCGGCATCGGTGGTTGGTGCCTCCTCCTCCTCCTCCTCTCCTCCTTGCTCCTCTTCCTCCCCTCCTTCCATTCACCTGGCCAGCCATCCGCCATGTCGCAGGGTCAGAACTTCCTCCCCAAATTCCTGTTTGTCTCCAACCTGCTCAAGGCAGTGAAGATCCGACAGCGAGTGCCTAACGATGTGGTGAAGCCTGCTGCCAGCGGTGGCCTCATGCACCACCTGCGGGGTATGCACCGGTACACGCTGGAGATGATCGCCATGAACCACTTCCCCCAGGCCTTCAGGGAGGTGGTTCAGGCCGCCATCCTGGACCGAGCCATGCAGGCCTCATTAGAGAAGGAGAAAAAGCTCAACTGGTGTGGGGAGTTGAAGAAGATGGTGCCCTTACGCACCAATGGTAAGAACGATTATGCTGATGTTGAGGAGCTGTTCTGGAATATGGAGGCTACAGTAAACCAGATTTCTGTGGTGGTCTTGTAAGTGGATGAAGCTCCACGAAGCTTTGTTGATGTTCAAAGATGTTTTATATTATTGGTTGTATAGCAGAGGGCACCGTAAATAACTGCTGTTGGAGCAGTAGGTGATATTCAACACGAATAGAACAATTCAGCAGATTGGTCACAGAGCTAATGTTGAACCATTTCTCCTTGATTTTAGAAGCAAAACATATTGCGCTCAACACAGGATGTGTTTTGCTTTTGTTTCATTTTCTATGAGAGAGATGGTGAGCTCTTATGAGTCAGGACTATTTGATATGCAAATTCTGAGATGTCATTACTCACAGGCAGGGTTACTGTAAATGACAACAATCGAGGGACGTGAGTTCCGCTTTCACATAGACTCATTTAGCAGCCCCCTTGGTTTTACTGTGCCGACCTTAGTGTTTGACTTTAGGCACCCCACTGCTAAGTCATGTTTTCTGTTACGTGAATGTTGTAAGACGGGAACATCCCAGGGCAGGCAAACATGTAGACTCGGGCCTGATTACTTCTGATCATAGTTGTGTACTGGGAAATTCTCTGGCGTCACATGCAGGACTGTTATTTACTGTCTGTGATGTTTCAGACCCAACTATTTCCACAGTTTTTCATTTGCTGCATTTGGGGTATGCCCCCTCTTTTTCTGTGTAGGTGTGTGTTAGTGAATGTCAGTGGATGTCAAAAAAACACACCGTTTTACCTTAAATTCCCCACCTGCCTGACTTTATGTGACTTTATGGATTTGTGTTTGTGATGATCTGTTAGAGCTCATCAGACCTTGTTAAAGCAAACGTGTGTGTCTCTGGTGGCCTTTTCCATCTATACTGCAGTAGCTTAAACACAGCTGCTGTGTACATCAGATCTATTTTAAAGTTAATGGAGAGCAAGGTTTTTGAGAGGAATCATCAGCTATAGCTTCACAACAGAAGGAGGAAGAGGAAATCAGTCATAATTGCAGCTTTGTGCTAAACATGTGAGTTTCCAGAGGAAATAGTTTCTTTCTTTCTCATGTGAGAAATTCCTACATTGGTCACATATCAGAAGTTACTTTGAATAATTACTGGATGGTTGAGGAACTTGCTGGATGTGTTATGTCCTACAGTACTTTTTTTAAATAGTGAAACTCTTTGAAAGGGTCCCTGCCAATTCTGAAGTTAGTAATCACTGAAGGACTTACTGTAACTGTCATCAGCACATAATTCCCCCTTGCAAAGACCCCTTAATTGATGACCAAAATGGATGACTTCTGCTGCCAGTAACCTGGCTGGAATTTCCTGGTTTGCGAAGATGATGTCATAAAGAGGAGACAGAATTTAGTGCCGGAGCGTCTAACTCTGAAGGACCCAGACGTGACTTTGAGCAGAGGACGGACAACACGCACGCACGCACACACTCACACACACACAAGGCTGACTGACTGCTGCTGAGTCACTGGAGCTCAGCAGACACACACAAATACAGAAAGAAAACGTGAGAGAGAAGAAGTCTGTTCACTGATGTCCAGCGCCGTTGTCGGATATCTGTCTCCACATCATCTCAGAACTGAATTTACCAGTGAACCCAAAATCCTTATCTCATTTGGTCTATGCAAATGCACTAAAGATCCAAACCCCATAACCAATTTCCCCAAGCCCGGCTTAATTACAGAATATAACTGACCATCAAAAAAAACCCAGACTCATAAAACTTCCACTCCGCTTCAATTAAAATAACAGGGCCACATCCGTTTTCCTGATACATCCAACTTTTCCTCCAAGTAAAACAAGGCTTTATTAGAATTCAGTCTCTCTTCTGTCTTGAATGTCTCGGACACATCCGTGGGGTTTTCCCAAACAGTATCCCATGTCTGTCATGTGTCCCCATCAGGAAGGATTTGTTCAGCTACAATACACTAACTTCATGGTTAAGTTACTGGGAGGACACATACACTGCTGCAGTGTTCTGCCTTACAAGTAAAGCTTTTAGGTTTCTTTTGGGGCATCCACATTATTCCTCCTAGATTGGGGTATGTGGTATGTGCACTTTGTTTTTATAAGCAAGACTACACAAGGAAAAACTTGATGAGGAGGCGATGCATGAGCAAAGGATGAGCCAGTGAAATTTTCCATATCACTTTCTGTAAAATGGGACATTGGCCTTAGTGGATAATCTATGAGCGTTTTTCTAGTTTGGTAATAATTTACTGCAGTTGTTTACAGTCACAAATCTTGGGCCATTCTCACACAACAACCTGCAGACAAGGTGTGGGAAAGTGCAGCCCTGCTGGAAGCACACTGTTGCAAACTTGTGCTGTCACCTGGACAGTGACCAAATCAACTTAAGTCTGGCTCTGCACTGGTATGTTTTCAGGAAGTTCCCCAGCTTGCCACAGAGGAAGTATCTATATATAACCTGATGGGAGCTGCTGAACCACTTTCATCTTTAGTTTTCAGGCACCTCACTTTGTGATCATGACTTTTTTTCATGCAAGAGGAAGTGATTACGTGTGTGGACATTTGTTTGGATTTGTGTGTACCTTTGGGCCTACATATGTCTGGTGTTTTTTATTAAAAAAGCCTTGCATTTTATGTTTTTGCTGAGTGATGCAAGAGCACTGAAATGGAACAACATCTAGCTGGTCTGAAATGGAGAAGTGTTTTTTTTTCTCTCTTTAAATACAGCGAGATGTTCCTTCAGTTGAAAGAAAACAACTGTAGCTTAGATTGCATTAATTGAGCCACACAACAATTAATGCTACACTGAGATCAGATTTTGGCCTATTTAACACTTGCATCAAAACAAAACAACATTTTATGATCCTTTTTTTTAGAAATTTTTTCCTAGCTGTTTCTTAAACCTACTTAAACTTAAACTTTTCCTGTATAGAGGAGAGATCTTGAAAACGCCTGTTTAATACAGCAGTATTTTACAAAGAAGGGTGCAGATGCTTTATGTGTATGAAGTTACTGCCAGGTAAATGTTTGTGGAGGGAAAAAAAAGAAGTACACATTACAGTTCATGTGTATATGCTTGTGCATGTGAGGACCCATGTTATCTCTGCTCATTAATCACAGCATTCATCGGGTGTTGATTGTAGTATTTAAAAAGATAACATTCCATCCGGTCCAAGTCACGCCTTTGTGGAAAGTACAGGACCAGCTGAGTAGCATTGATGAGTTGGGATCATAGGAGGGGAGCATGCACACATGCACTCGCATGAAAGACAGAAGTTAGTACAGGGAAATTCCTGTGTTTAGTGTGGCAACAGGGTTTTTCAGAGCTGCACACATTAACAAATATGGGCTCTGCTGTTTCACAATGAGAAAAAGACCCAGTACTGCCAAAGGAGAATAAATAAAATTCCAGGATTTTTAGCCGCTCACGCTCTCACACACTCGTCTTTTCAGCAACCAAGTCTTTACCTATATTCTACTGACTGGCTGCAGTGATAAAGGCACATACGTTTGGCAAAAACAAATATATGTATGTGAGAATTCTGGTTTTCTATACAGATTTAGATTGTAAAAAGATTCAGTTTTTCAAAAACATGTTCCGGGGAAATTACGGGTCATTTTTATCAGCCTTGTCTGTGGCGTGTGTACTGTTAGATGTATAAGGGTCATATAATAGTCGAAACACCAGATACTAACGACCAGCCCAGCGGCCTGGAAATCCCCAGACTTTAGTTACACTTGTGTGTGTGTGTGTGTGTGTGTGTGTGTGTGTGTGTGTGTGTGTGTGTGTGTGTGTGTGTGTGTGTGTGTACACATTGCAGTTGCCTGTTTTTTATGCTGTATGTGCATAGCCTTTGTATGTGTGCGTGTGCATGTGCCTATTCATAGAAGGAGAACTTTGTGTCCTGTGTACAAAATCAACCAACCATAGTACTAAAAAAACATTTGTTTTCTTGCCTCCTCTTTGTGTGTCTGTAGGAGATGGGAACTGTTTGCTTCATGCAGCCTCTCAGTACATGCTGGGTGTTCAGGACACAGACCTGGTTCTTCGGAAAGCTCTCCATGGTGTTTTGAAAGAAACTGACACGGGCGTCTTCAAAGCTCGCTTCCAGGCAGAGCTGCTCCAATCTCAGGAGTTCACCCAAACTGGACTCCGATACACCACCATGGTATGAATTTTCAACTAGATCCATTTTCCATTACTTTGCTTTGAGAAAACTGTGCTCATGCAGAAGTTTATTTCCTAATTGTGTGCATTTGTTCCAGAACTGGGAGGATGAGTGGGAAAAGATTGTGAAGATGGCATCGCCAGTCTCCAGTAGCAATGGCCTCCAGTTTGATTCTTTGGAGGACATCCACATCTTCATCCTCTCCAACATTCTCCGCAGACCCATCATCGTCATTGCAGGTACTCCCTTTTTTATCATCTCAAATTATGCTTATTTATCCTTGTTAGCCCTCAAAGACTCACTGGTTTTGTAAGAGCACATCTTGTAATGTATAATATATCACCACCATTCCTCAACATTTGCTCTCGGTTGTTTTGAAGTCTTCTTAATGCACTGTGTCACTTACTGTCTATCTTAATAAAGAATCTCAAATGACTACTGATGATTTCTCAACTTCAAAATATAAAAAAATAAATATGCAGAAACATGTTTGCAGTCATATTTGAGCAAAGCTTGCTTTTTCAGGATCTAAAATCCAAAAATGACTGCACATTGCTCCATTTATTCCACTTGAATTGGGTGCAGCTCTATAAAAGTTGTTCATTGTCATTTGTTAGAGAGTTATAAACTCTTAAATCTTTGTTCTTTCAACAGACCAGGTGGTCAGGAGTATGAAATCCGGCACCTCCATCTCTCCTCTGAATGTGGGTGGGATTTATCTGCCTCTACACTGGCAACCCACAGAGTGCTACAAATACCCAATAGTGCTCGGCTACGACTCCCAGCACTTTGCACCCCTCATCACCATCAAAGACAGTGGTCCAGGTACAAATCACAAAGAAATAGGTGTTATATATTTGGCACGATAAAGGGACAAAGCAGGACCCCTGTTCATGGATTTGGCTCTGTGTATCTTTAACTGAATTTCCCAGAGATCCGAGCAGTACCGCTGATCAATCCGAGGCGGAATGGCTTTGAGGAACTGAAAGTTCATTTTCTGATGGAGAAGGAGCAGCAGCAGAAAGAGAGGCTCCTCAAAGAGTACCTGCACCTGATAGAGATCCCTATCAGATTGGGCCATGACATTACACAGATTATGAAAGCTGCAAGGTACTTGGGCATTATAAGTTCCATCCATTGTTAAATGCAGCCTTGAACAGCTCATGGCATAAGAATTGTTTTTGACTGATTATCAAAGATAATTTAGCCAAACTACTTTTATTAACTATGAATTTGAAAGGGAAAAAAGTAATAAAATGCAGTTAAGAACCACATTGTATGTCTCTGTCCTAAGGCTGGATGAGGGAAACCTTCCTGAAGACATGAACCTGATGGAGGACTACCTACAGCTTGTGAACCATGAGTACCAGCGCTGGCAGGAGGACAAGGAGCAGGCATGGGCCGCCCAGCCACAGCGTCCGCCACCCTTCTCCGTCTCCCAGCTCTCGCTTATTGAGATCCGCTGTGCCACACCACGATGCACCTTCTATGTCTCTGTGGACACGCAGCCTCATTGCCATGAATGCTTTGAAAAGCGGCAGGCCACTACTGGTGGAGGAGCGAGGATAGAAGGGGTAATTCAGACTAAGGAAGGAGGTTTACAAGGTGGGGTAGGAGTCATAGGGGGATCAGAGACTGAGGTGAGCTCCAGAGGGGCCAGAAGTAGCAGCCCCCCATGCTCTTCATCTGGGAGAGGAGTAGTGTTATCCAGTCCCCGCTCAGCCCCGCCCACCGCCCCCAGCCTCAGCCTATACAGTGAAACACATGCAATGAAGTGCAAGACACCCGGCTGCCTCTTCACCCTAAGTGTGGAGCATGATGGACTTTGTGAGCGCTGCTTCAACTCCAGGCAAAACCATGGAACCCCTGGAGTTGGAACGGCCGCTACAGGACTGCCAGGGACCAATGGGGGGCCTGTCGTTCCCCACCCAGCCCAGGGCTCCGGCTGGAACCAGTGGGGAGGCTGTGAGACCGAGACAGAGCGATGTAACATGTGCAGAAAGGAGGCGTTTAGGATATTCAATGGCTTGTGTCCACCCTGCATGCAGAGACAGCAGGCTCCAGAAAGGGGAGAGCCACAACAGATCAATCCCAGGACTGAAGCCTCATCTTCAGCTTGGACCCAGGCCAGGGACACTGAGCGGCCATGCCTCACTCTAACTCCAGGGCACACCTCAGCTTGGCAGGGCCCTGTGGCCCGACCTTGTAAAAGATCTGGCTGCCAGTTCTTTGGGACACCTGAGAAACTGGGTTTCTGCACTATTTGCTACGTAGACTATCAGACAAATCACCGTAAGTCCTAAAACAAAACTAGAAAACACTTCTTGCATTGCACGCTTTTCGTATATATAAAATTTATTATAAAAGCCGTATAGCTGTCTTAATAAACATCTCATTTAACTGTTCTGTTTGTTGTTATTCAAATGTCATATGGCACATTGCTTATGTTGGCCACTGTTTCTTCCAGACCTGACTCCTCCTCCTGCCCCGGCCCAGAGTCGGCATGGTTTGGAGACAGGCTTCCAGAATGCCTCACGATGTCGTGGGCCTGGGTGTGGTGCAGTTGGCAAGGTGATGCTGGAGGGCTACTGTGATAAGTGCTACGTAAAAGAGCAAAGTGCAAGACTTAACCAAGTCGCAAATCGCACGTCCCCTCCTCTGGTAGGTACCTGCCATACCTTCATAACTCCTCACTGTTCTTCACATGCCTTGTTTTTTTCGTGTGTTCTTCTTCTTCGCCTGTTGACAGTTCTTTCCATTCTCGCTCTTTCTCTGTACAAAAGCGTGAACGAGCAGCAAAACCCAGATCTTCGCAGCAATCCCAGACCCAGACTCAGTGCCGGCGGAGTGGCTGCAGTAATGTGTCCCCGGGTTGCACAGACCTCTGCCCAGAGTGCCACACGCGTGGTCAGGGCAGAGAGCCAGGAAGACGGGCGCAGGCGCCCAAAGAAAAGTCGAAGCAGCGGTGCCGGACACAAGGCTGTGACCACTACGCCAACCAAGAGAAACAGGGCTACTGCAACGAGTGTGACCACTTCAAACAGATTTACCGCGGCTGACCACATTTAGCGCCCATGCACACGACAGCGATGATGACACATCGCTAGCACGCTAGAGCCGCCGCCCTGCTGTGGGCTCTCCATGCCAGTCAATGCACCTCTGATACTAACTAACCAACTAACTAACTTGCTAGTGACTAACTAGTTACCTTATGGCCTGAAAATCAAACCCCCCATGTAGAATGTGAAGAGAGAGTGTGTGTATGTGGGGGTGGTGGTGAGTGTGTGTGTTTTCGCAGTAGACATGGCCTCCAGAATACCTCTTTGTGCAATTATTATCATCTGACATGCCCTGCGCACTTACACGGTGAGAGGTTTGGCTACATGTCAGAGCAACTGAATTAACTCTTGTGTACAATATGTATTTAGAGGTACGTAGTGAATCGTGCCGGACAAAATGATTGTATGTCGACATAACAAGAAGCATCTGACATTGCTTTCTAGACCACAGCCAAGGATTTATACCCCCCGTCTGTCTGTCTGTCTTAACCCATCTGTGTATCTGTCTGCCTGTCTGTCTAGCATTTGCTCTGAAGAAAGAGAGATGCAGTAGTTGGGCATGCCCAACAGCAAATCTCTGTGAAAATAGTCAGCAGAAGTGTGCAAAACTGGGCCAAAGGAAAGCAAGCAAAGTGCTTGAAATTAAGTTAAATGGCATTCACCACTGTTTTGCTTAAATCTCCTAAATCACTCATCTATGTCCTCACAACCCAGACAAAGATTTTTTTTTTCAAAAAGATTCTCTTGCAGTCAATATTGTAAAAATGGTCAAATATTGATTTTCTTCCATTAGCCAGACAATAGCAGGGTTAGTTTATATTTTGAGGCTAATTAACCTTATTACTGTTACATATCTGATGTAAATTGCTTGATATGGAAAGTAAAAAAACAAATTATAAACTGTGCAGGACAGACAGGGCAGGCCCCTGTTAGTTTTGGTGCTACATGTACAGAAATACAAGCCTCTCCATTGTAGCCAACATGCTGGTGGTTTCAGCGGACAGAAGGCAGAGATCACAGTAGAGACAGGACTCACTCTCTTTCAAAACCTCCTTTCCTTCCTCTTATTTCCCTTTTTCTCCAAAACAAATCTGTTGCCTTGGACGTTGTTTTCCTGTTTACTTACCACTTAAGCACCTAGAAACGCATAGACACATGCGCACACATATCTACACAATGTATACACCAACATAATATCGTCAGTCCTGTTAAAAGGGGATTGGCAACTGTGAGGAGAACTGAGACTACAAGGACAGGCGAAGTCTGGATAATTATCCACCCTACTACTGTATACACACGCACACATGCAAACACAGCTTTGTGAGATTGTATGTCCCCACCCCAGCCTGAGGTAATGTGTAGGTAAATGAACCTGTAAAGATGCATTCCTCTCTGCTTCACCCTCCTGGATGTGCCAAGGCATCACTTTCAAAACTTCAGAGAGCAATCCTGTTGCCTGCTTTGGCTAATCTTGTCTATCTGAATGTGTTTGTGCTGCTTGTACAGCAGCACAGTATTGGGGCTGATCCTCGATAAGTTTTGCCTTTACATAGTGATTGAAATTTTATGGACCAGAGGGGCCTGATCAGTGATTATGGATCAGTGCTCCCACTTATAAAAAATGCTTTTGTGAACATGGATCTTAGTCCATACCGTAGGACCTTCCAACCCGATGCCTCATCTTCAATACACACACACACACATACACACATACAGATAAAACGTACGCGTGTGTGCGTCTGGAGTACACAAAAAACTGACATTCCTCCTCTTTTTTTCTTTTCTTTTTTTTTTGAATTTCAAATGTATTTTGATATATTTGTTTTTTTTCTGCCAAAAGAGGAAAAAAAAACAAAAAAACGTGCCATCAATTGCCAAACAGTTGTTGTTACCTCCTTAAAAACGGCCAGCCTGGACCATTCTAAACTAACCAGAGTGCCACAGATTGACATCTCCTGTTCTGCGCAACCACAGACTTCAGCTAATCCAGATCTCTCATGCTGAAAACCCCCTAATGGACACCATCTTTCCGTGAACTTATCTTTTATTCAGATACGAAGAAATGTCTGTCTGTAAAGATAAGCTCAAACATGAAACATTTATCAGACTCAAATTTGGTAATAACTGGAACCTCTTTCCCCTCTTACTTTAGCTGTGGGCAGATATCCATCTGTGGCTCTAGTTAGAAAAGCATAGACAACCAGGCTCTTGGTCTGCCTTTTCATTCAACTGTATCTAAAGCTGTCAGGCCAGCCCACGTGTTGACGGCCTGGACGTAGATCTCTGTGTGCTTTAATCACCTCTAGACAAACCTTAATCACTTCAAGGCCAATTAGTGCTCAGCTCATCATAACCTCTTAACAAGGGGCTCTGACTGAGTTTGACTGGGAGGAGATCACATAAGTTGCACATGACTTGTCTAAGCTGCTGAGGCATTTAGGAATGGTACTCCGACCTGTGTAGGGACATTCCAACAGTAGGAAGAGCATCGACTTAAGAGCAGAAGGTGTAACAAAACATGCAAATGGTGTGGAAGTTTCTTTGTGTGACTTTTTGACAATAGGGTATTGTATGAAAAAAGCCTGGTTTTATTTGTTAAGTATTTATTCATATCAAAATATCTGTATTGTGTGATTCAATAATTATTTATATGTCGTCCTGAAATGAATTATTTTTATTAAGAAATCTGAAATCTGACTGATGTGTTTCTTGGGTCTGTACTTACTGTGTGTGTGCGTGTGTGTGTGTGCATATACTTGTGTGGATGTATTTTGACATCAGGTGGAACCGTAGAATTTGATTTGCGTGAGGATTGGCGTCAAACATTTATTATATTGATAAAAATCATATTAACGTGCAGCCCCATGTCAACAAGTGCAATCGCTGTCAGGGGAGAGTTTATTATAAGCTTTTGAAGCTACAACTTACTGATGAGTCTCAAATGCATCACCTGCTTGCAAACAACACCACAAACATCATTGGTGATGACCCTAACTCTAGAACTAGGCAATTAGAATATGTTTATTGATTTATTAAGTTGTTCTCCAAAATATTTTCAATTGGGAAACAAAGAAAGCGTTTATTCAAAGTGACATACATCAAAAATATCTATGTTTCCCCCCCCAAAAAGTCTCCAAAATATACAATTATAGGGGAGTGCTAGGGTTATGGATGGGATTATGCTTACTTAAACTTCATTGGGTTAAGTTGCTGTTTGGAAAAGAAAGTTGTAAAGATGAGCTTGTTGCATTTATGTTTAAGTGTATGATGGTTCCAGTTTAAAATGAGGTTTTGCAGAAAGGGAACATTGTGGGTTTTTCGAGAACAGCTCATTCAACCAATGCATGAGTGACTGAGGTCATCAGTAACTCGACATCAAAGGCAAAAAAAAGCACGTCAGGCTGTCATTGTGAGGAGAGTTTTGTCCCGAATGAGTAATGTTGTATAGTGGTTAACAGCTTTTCCTAATGTGTGAAAGTTCCAGACCAGTAGGAAGCACAAGTTCCTGTGAAGGTTGTGTTAGGAAGGGCATCTGTGTAAAAGTGCGCAGGTCCGTCTACTGTGGTGACCTATTGTGAATAATGGAGCAGCTGAAAGAAGCTAGAACAATGCAAAAGTTATTGCTTTTTACTCCCTATACTTCATTAAATACTGTTTCGGTGTTAAAATTATAATTGAGTCAGGGTAAAGCCTGGGGCCCTTAGTTATGATGTTATGATCAGTGAAGGTCCTTATAAAGATAGCTAAATATGGCCTTGTGTGTATGTATATGCCTCAACACACAGAGAGTGGAGCAGGCGGCAGCCACACAGGGGAAACAGTGGTAAGAGAGTACTTTTAGCCAAAATATGGGAAGTGTTCATCCAAATGATGTCAGACTTGGCATCATACTTAGTCAAGTCCCCAGCAACACACTCACCAAGCTTGAACTGGGTTGGATAAACAGTTGTCAAAATAGGCAAAGAAAAAAGAAAAGAGAGACATAATTCTCGAATTATTATTAGTAACATTACAAATGGGTTTGTTCGGCATTTTTTTCTATTATTTTCTTGTGGCTGGTTAGGAGGGGGCAGGAGAATACAGTATATGAAACACTATAATGTGTTCTAGCCTGCATGCACTTGCATATGGAGTCTGCTTGTGTTCTCAGATGCTCAACCTTCTTCTTATTGCTTCTCTTTACTAAGCTGGATATTGCTTAACGCTGTTTCTGCAGACAAGCACTTGCACTCTGTTGGCAACAAATCCATCTCCAGTGTAGGAAGTATAGTGGGTGCTGCAAAAACATCAGATAAATGACTACTGAGGCCTGGTTTAGATGTGGCAGACTGCACCATTTTCCCATATGCTTAACTGGGTTAGATTTTTTTCTTCTTCTTTCCGCCTTTGATGTTCTTCTTTCTTTTGTCAGTTATGCAGATTTCCATAAAAGAAGCGCAAACAATAAGGTTTTTTCCTTCTGTGCTTTTTTTTTCTTTTCTTTTTTGGTCACTATATTCTTGTTTCCAGGTTATTGTAAGGCTTTTGTGCTAAAAAAGAAAAGAAAAGAAAAAAGGGAACCCCCACCCTCACAAAAGAAAACGCAGTTTACTCAGGAGGAGTGGGTCACACGGTGGGAGGGGGGAATTTGGAGTAAGGGGAGATATGGCAGTTACAGGTGGGGAATTGGCAATACTTATATATGGTAGGGCTGAGGTGACATTTAACAAACGTGGGACTGCAAGGTTTGTGCGTGGGGAGATTGGTAGGCTGATGCGGTTTCCTGGAAATACCCCAACATGCAAACGCTCTTGTAAAACCGTTCTGACAAGCAGGCAAGAAGTGTTTCACTTGAGGTTTCTCATGAGTGTGGTGCAGCAGACCTTTCTATTCATACGCAGTATGAATAAATATAGTGAAGCAAATTTAGTTGCAGATTACAAATAGCCTATTTTTATTGCCAGACTTCATTGAATAGCTTATCCTGACAGAGAGATGACTTAGGCAAAAAGTATATTAACAAGTTTGCAATTAGGAAAATGTATGCAAGTGCATACACAAATACATAAATTAATCAAATGTTACATACCAGACCCAGTAAATTCTTAAAATTCTTATTTAGATAAGGACTAACACATGACTAAATGCTATACAGCTCCAGTCTGCTAGGCTTGATTAACCTGTCAAGTTGGCCTTGTTAGGTGAGGCTGTGTGCAGTCAGGAATAGGACCCAAGGTGCAGACTCCGGAGACAGACGTGAACTCAAAAAGGCTTTAATGCTGAACGCAACATGACATAACTAGAAAGACTCAAAATAACCTTACACCGGTGGACAGGCAAAACACACAGCAAAATAAACGGTAGATCACAACACGGACACAAAGAAACACAGGGCTTAAATACACAGAGGGAGCAATCAGGGAATGGGTAACAGAAGGGAAACACAGCTGGGGCAAATCAGGCCTAACGAGACAAGAGGAAGCAAAACCAGACACATTAACATCAGACATGGACTTTCAAAGTAAAACAGGAAACACATAACACAGACTGAACAAAGACACAGACTCATATGCAGGCACTACAAAGGGAACAGAGATGTGGGAACAAGGCAGACACAAACACTGACTGAACACGGGGATATAGGAACTTAGGATACACAGACGCGAACTAGACAAGGGGATGCAGGTGATAGGGGAGACATAAGCCATAAGACGGAACTCAAAGAAACCAAAAACTAGAAAGTATAAATAATAACATAAACTCAAACATCCTGGGTCAACGACCCAGGCATCCTAACAGGCCTGGGGCAAAAATGTGCTGTTGTGTACCTTTTAATGCTGCAGCAACAACATCGTCTTCAGTTTAATTAAATTCAGTTTTATTTAAGGCATTACATTTATTAATTTAGGGCTGCATGGTGGTTAGCAGTGTTGCTTCATAGCAAGAACGTCCTGAGTTTGACTCCACCATTTGGCCGAGGCCCTGCTGTGTCAGTCTGGCGACTTGTCCAGGGTGGACCCTGCCTCTCGCCCTAAGGTAGCTAGGACCAGTAAGACGAGCAGACCAGGGATATGGCTCTTCAGAACCAGAGGCATCTCCACTCAGTGGTCAGCAGACTGCAAACACAATCTCCGAGAGCCCTTCTCATAATATCAGGGGACTTCAATCATGCCTCTTTGGACTCCACACTGCCCACCTTCACCCAGTATGTGACCTGCTCAACCAGAGACAATAAAACACTGGACTTACTGTATGCCAATGCTGAAGAGGCATACAGTTCATCACCTCTCCCTCCACTGGGCAAATCTGACCACAACCTGGTGCACCTTGTCCCTGTGTATGAGCCCTTAGTGCGCAGGGTGCCACCAGCCACCCGCACAGTGCAGAGATGGTCAGAGGAGAGCGAGGAGGCTCTTAAGGACTGTTTTGAGTCGACTGTGTGGGAGGTGATCTGTGACGACCATGGAGAGGACATCGACAGCCTTACTACATGCATTACTGACTATATTAATTTCTGTGTGGATAACACCGTACCTACCAGGACTGTACGGTGTTTCTCCAACAACAAACCTTGGATTACCCCAGAAATTAAAGCTGTCCTCAAGCAGAAGAGGAGGGCCTTCAAATCCAAAGACAAAGAGGAGTTGAAAAGGGTGCAGAGAGAGTTGAGGGGACTGATAAGGAATGGGAAGGACAGCTACAGGCAGAAGATGGAGAACCAGCTTCAGCAAAACAACGTTGGTGAAGTCTGGAGAGGCCTCAGAACCATCTCAGGCCACAAACAGCAGAACTCTCTGCCTGGGAGGGATGTGAGGTGGGCAAATGAACTGAATCATTTCTTCAACAGATTTGATTCAACCATGAGACAGTCTACAACATCGGCTGCAGACTCACCCACCCCCACTGCTGCTGTTCCACCTCTGACACCTCAGACACTTCACACCTCCTCTATTCACCCTGCTCACTCCCCCCCACCCCCAACAACAGCATCCAATACACACTCAACACAAGGCTCCAGCCTGTCTCTCTCAACCACCCAGGTTAGGAGGGAACTGAGGAGGATTAATGGCAAGAAGGCAGCGGGCCCAGATGGCATCAGCTCGAGGGTCGTCAGGTCCTGCGCGGACCAACTGTGTGGGGTGATGGAGCACCTCTTCAACCTGAGCCTGAGGTTGGGAAGAGTCCCACAGCTCTGGAAAACCTCCTGTGTTGTACCAGTGCCAAAGACTTCACGCCCCAAGGACCTCAACAGCTACAGGCCGGTGGCTCTGACATCCCACCTGATGAAGACCCTGGAGCGGTTGGTCCTGGCTCAGCTTCGGCGCCTAACAAGCTCATCACTGGACCCACTTCAGTTTGCCTACCAACCTGGCATTGGCGCGGATGATGCCGTCATTCACCTCCTACATCGTTCCCTCGCTCACCTGGAGACCGCTGGAAGCACTGTGAGAATCATGTTCTTTGATTTCTCCAGTGCCTTCAACACTATTCTTCCCTCGGTTCTGAAGGACAAGCTGGAGAACTCTGGAGTGGACCATCACCTCACTACCTGGATTTTGGACTACCTCACCGACCGACCACAGTATGTGAGGACTCAGGGCTGTGTGTCGGACAGGGTCGTCTGCAGTACGGGGGCCCCACAGGGAACGGTTCTGGCTCCGTTCCTCTTCACCATCTACACTGCAGACTTCTCCCACAATTCCACCCAGTGCTTCCTG